TTAGTTAAAATCCGTCAATTTGAAATGTCCATGGAACATAACAGTGCATCTGCAGAAAAACAGCCTCTTAAAGGATAATTACATGATTTGACTCTATATTTAACAGCTTCCGATGAGTGAGCGAGGGAGTGAGCGAGGGAGTTCTTCCTGCTGCCAGTTAAACAAATTAGTCTACAGTCTTAAAGTCTATTTTTAGAACGGCATGCGTCGAATGACGAATATATGTTAATTCCAGGACGATATAATATATCGCATATGCTAATAAATTTGTGTCTTCTTCCGCTGGCTGGATATTATATGCTGATATCAAATAACTGTCGTGGCACTGAAATATGATCAAACTTTAATCAGTATCTTTAGTCTTTAACAACCAGGGAACTTGCGATTATTGTAGAACCATTCGACTGTGAAACCTCTCGCATAGTCCAACTATAATATCATTCGATATTTAATAGCATAATATAATTTATATAACTAATTTATATTATATAGTAGTATTTATAATACATATTTGTACTACCTCTCCTTTAGTTTAGCTCCGTCTGCATTCCGCATTTATATTTACTTAATATAGTAGGTTACAGTTACCTTACTCGTTCTCTATAATAGCTAATTTGAGGAGTCATTTATTAACAGACGCACTTTCCCCCGGATATTTTTGGAATGCTACTCCTCCTAATTTATATTTAATTATGGGTCTTTCTTTTGTTCATTCCAGTTCCACGTTTAACGATTTATAGGACTATTTATAGGTTTATATTAAATCACAGTTCTTTAACAATATGGCATATTTCACAGATCACAGAATCACTAACTTTACATAGACTGATCACAAATAGTTTGATTCTTGGAACACGAAGTAGGTATACTATATTACAGTTTACACACGAAGTTTACTTTTACTATAACATCGATCTAAGGAGGTCGCCATCCGGCTTGCTTTGGTACAATATTCCTTTGAATAGAATCCAACTCTTAATGTCACATAATATCATAAATATAAAGGTCGGTACGATATTAACCATATGGTGAACAACTCACCCACGTGACCCACCCCGTATATAATGAGGAATATATATAGTGTAGTATTGCCAGATCCCAGTATAGTGTAGTATTGCCAGATCCCAGTTCATTTTGTAACGGAGTTTTATATTAACAGGAAACGATGTAACAGAGTCGATATATTTTAATGTTGCCATGGGGTGGCAAGTCCCCATACATCGTGGTCCGGTAGTTTCATTGCGTCCTAACATACTGAGGAACCTCAGTAAAAGATGCCTATTTCTACGTGGTATTGACCAGGTAATCTGTTTATATATCCCTCATATTGCTTTCTTCGTGTGACGCCATTTCTAATTTAAGTGTGCGGCTCCCTCTCATAATAGTTACTATATTCCTCTGAATTCGGATAGTATCTTCGTCTGATAATATCTCTGATAGTACCAAGTCTCCTTTGTTAGCTGAACCGAGTCCAGCTCTCCAACATCCCACACAGCTTATTATGTACTTATTGTACGTGGGCATCTTGCTGTCTACTTACGTAAGCTGATTTGCGTCATCCTGGGAATTTTCTAGAATATATTTTATTAGCGTGAAGGATTCTCGAACTATGACTTATTTGTAGAGTTTCCATGGGGATGGTTTATATTTTCTTAAGAACGGGTTGTCTTGAAAAACACGTACTGAACATGCTAGAGACAGTAGTCACTAGTCACCAGCAGTCACTAGTAGTCACTAGTAGTCACTAGTAGTCACTAGTAGTCACTAGTAGTCACTAGTAGTCACTAGTAGTCACTAGTAGTCACTAGTAGTCACTAGTAGTCACTAGTAGTCACTAGTAGTCACTAGTAGTCACTAGTAGTCACTAGTAGTCACTAGTAGTCACTAGTAGTCACTAGTAGTCACTAGTCACCAGCAGTCACTAGTCAGTAGTCACTAGTATAGTCACTAGTCAGTAGTCACTAGTCACCAGCAGTCACTGTGGTAGTTGTCATGGAATCTTTATTAGGGTTGGGGCGTGTGCGTGGCCACTGAAAACAATATCATTATCGCATTCAATAATCGTAAAGAATCTAATATTACTCCTGCTAGTATTTATAATTATTATCTAGTAACTACAACTAATATCTACTATAACTATTATTAGATAGTGTTTGTAAACATCGTGTGTGTTGAACTAATGATAAGATATTGGTTGCACCATGTGGTTCAGTCTGTTGTTATGCTGAGATATATTATTGGATTGCTTTCTCAGTTTCTCGTGATGCTTTCAAATTGTTGCCTTATTCAAATTTTAGTTGTTCGAAATATTTGACAAAATTCAGCTTCCGGTCGTTGCCGTCGCCAACATTCCATCGCCATGGTGATGTTTACTGGCATTTTGGGTCACGTGACCATCATCCATCATCGATTGATTTTATGTTTACTTCAAAATTCTTTAGTATCGTTCCGTGCATCTCAACAAATTCGATATTGTCTGAATTTTTCCTTAGATGGATACGACAAATGTCACAAGTATTGTACGTTATTTCCTGAGAATACCATAAATTTCAACAAATAATATCTATATATAGATATATAACGTATCATTAGATTAAGGACCAGGTTCAAACTAATGATATATCGCAGTGTAACATCCCATATATTATGTAAGCCGCATCCTATCAAATTCCGGGGGATAACCTAACATTATTCACCCTACATAGGTCATCCTCCACCAGTATGTTTATCAATATCAGTATTTATAATTGTGTTACGATCTTAAGTTATGCTCGGAATGAAAAGCATTCCCGACTGTCCTGATTGTATATTACCGATAACGTAATATCCGAATTCTAGAAGGACACTCACAGTCACATTACTCACGTTCGTCACCTTCATTGTTTTGACATGGCCTGATCTGCATGATAATAGAGTAGACTTGGATCTCGGTACCCACTGTGGGTCACGTGGTGTGTCACGTGGTTTGTATTCACCAATGGGGGAGGACCGGGGAGGGAGTTAGGGAACTTACACAACTGTGCATCTATTCTTAGATGTGCAGGTAATTGAGTATACGCTGTGAATATGAGGCAGCATTATGTTGTGGTATACTCCGTGTACACACAGCAGTCCGTACAGTCCAATCACCTCACTACACCACTACCACGCGCCCTCATTGGCCAATCAGCGAGCGCTATTCTGCAGATGAACCAATCACAGTTCGAGGACCACCCCACGTGGATGCCCTAGCCCTCTCAATAGTTCGTTGTAATTTGATGATCTCTAATTTGATCCCTCCACTTGGCACGCGTTCCCGCCATTTCTACTGACCAATCCCGGCCTCTCTACCGAGTAACTCTCCAATCACATCACGATCACTGTACCACGTGACGTATGGGATTGTCTCGGATTGGTGTAGAGAAACGCTCCCGCTCTTTTGAGAGTGGAGATGAATGGTCGAGTGCTTTATTTTTAGCTCTCCTCTCTCTCTCTCTCTCTCTCTCTCTCTCTCTCTCTCTCTCTCTCTCTCTCTCTCTCTCTCTCTCTCTCTCTCTCTCTCTCTCTCTCTCTCTCTCTCTCTCTCTCTCTCTCTCTCTCTCTCTCTCTCTCTCTCTCTCTCTCTCTCTCTCTCTCTCTCTCTCTCTCTCTCTCTCTCTAGGCTGTACTGAATGTGTGGGCTAGCGTAACCTTCACGTCCCGCCCATGATTGTTCATTACACTCGCTTTCTCTTAAACACAGCTTGCTTTTCCTTCCTCTTAAATCCTTATCGTATGTTTTAAACATTTGTTACACTCGCTTTGCTGTTTAACTGGTAACACTGTTGTTTGAATTTCCGTTACTTATGTTTGTTGGATGGGGGGACCCGGCCCTGTGAATCTGAATCGAAAGTTGGCTGTGAGTAGGGGGCGTTGCATACTTTCCTAAAGTTGGCGCGATATATTGTTGTGTTGAAGCGGGTGCTATGTTTCCAGGAATTTTGGCCTTCTGTAGAATGTTGTGAATAGTTTAAGTGCGTCAGTTTTGGCGAATCCAGTTGGTGTTTGAACTTGTGGCTTGTGCTCGTTGTGATGGTTAAATCTGGGGAGCCGGTGGGTTTTGAAAGATTCTACGTTTTTTGTTACGGTCAGTATATTCGTTAAACAGGACCAATTTCGGTTATGTTTGTCATGAAAGCCTTTAGGATGTGTTTCGTTTCTTGAAATTTTCAAGTTAAGGCGAACTTAAACATAATTTTATCTCAAACTTGTCTGGCATTTTCAGACTTTAAACTTAGAAATATTAATAACCTTAGGGACGCGTTCTGTGTAACTTTACAGTTTTCATAAAACACATTTTATCTCAAACCTTACATTCAAGATAAGCCCGACAAAAGTAAACATTTGTTTATCTGTCCGAGAAATATCACTTTTCGTTGAATTCTATTTTTAGCTCGCATTATTACCGCGAATATAAAAGTCTGTTATTTCGTTTGCGCAATTAAAAATATCTGTCGTTAACTTTTGGTTTACTTACACAGCTTCAGCCAAATATGTAGCCTTTCTACCCAACAGTATTTAAGGTATTTTAGGTATTTAACATTATCTAAGGTATCAAGACACTATTTGAGTGGTCCTGACTGAGGTTTACATTTGCATTTAACCCCTTCGCCCTTCTGGCATTGCTTCTGAATTAATACCATTATTTTAAAGATGACAAAGGGGTATTAATATTATAGTCCCTGAACTTACATAACGTAACAACTAAAATTAAACCCCTTTACGTTTTGGTAATTTCTGGTCGCATTATCGTTTTATTTCCTTTTCAAAATTAGATGATAACATTTCGATTGTTAAAGTTGATTTTATTTCCGGTTTAGACTTTAGTTGTGTGGTGGTGCGGTTACGTTCCACATTGAAACTTACTGATTGAAATGCGATCTGATTTTTATACGGCCTCTATATAATAACCCTGAATACTCTCTAATTCCCTTGTTAATTACTGCTCAACTTAAAAACTAATCAGTTTCCTTCCCAATTAGCTAACTAACGACATGACCGCGGAAACGCAGGTCTTTCAGCAATATTCACTACCCACGGACATGAAATGTTTCCGACAACAGGTAATTAAATACGATAACAATTTATTTTCTTCTCTTACGTCATTTTAAAACTATCATCATGTTTATATTTAGGGCACACTCACTCTCTGTGTGTTCAGTGCATGATTATCGTGGTGACAGATTGTGACCGAAAGATAAACAAATTTAAAATGTATTTGATCGTGACGTCATCATTATCAAACTTACACGTAACTCATCCTCTGGTTTAATCATGTTAAAGTCACACAAAATAGAGTCATGTGAAGTGTGACACTTCAAATTATTTTATTATTTCGTAATAGTACATCTCTGCAACGTGTGCTGAAACTAGATGATTTAAATTACCACCTGGTGATCTATATCGGATAGATCGGTCTATGAAGTACAAAATTATGAACTCATGAGTTTTAGAACTTGATAAGATAAACTTATGAATTTTAGCATTATTAGATTATAACTTCAGCATTATTAGATACATTAGCATCTAGAACTTGATAAGATATAATAAAATAATAAATTTTAATGTTAGTTAAACGGATATAATAACATACCACTGACTCCTAAGTTTCAACATCAATAAAACACATAACACCGTCTTACCCGCCTAATCAAATGAATAACACTGTCTTTAAGCTGCACATAAAACATAAAACCCCCGGACTTACCGCATATCAAGACATAATTCTAAGAGACACGCCTCTCAACGGGCTACTCCCACCCTGGCATCTTGTCATTAAACACTACATATTATCTTTATATCCACATAAATTATGTGCTACTTCAGGATCAGTATCAGGGTCACACTGGAGTTCGACCTTCAACACTGTTAAAACTGAGCGAACATATCCGGAGCAAGCGATACTCTCTCAATCTCCTACGGGTAAGTACCTCGTTATTATTAAATCTACTTATAGAAGTTTTAACGAATCATTATGTAGTGTTCATCGCTATTTTTAGAGCTCACCATTTCATGGTTTTATATGTTGTCTATTTTTATCTTATGTCATGGTAAACGCGGGCAAGATGTCAGCGTTTGAGATTCAGTTGACAATGCTAGTTAAGTAATGTAAGGCTGCCAAAGTTATGTAAGGCTGCCAGCAATTACTGGACTGTCAGCAATTATTACTTAATGTTTAATAAGTTGATGCTTTACTAAGTAAGCGCCAGGGCTCCAGAGATCTTATTCTCGAGCTGAAGCTGACGTCCGCGTTAAAAACCTCTCAAATTCTAACCATTGGCAGACGTCCCTGCCCATATTAAGGAGTTACATATAATAGTTATACCGTTTTGTTTTAAAAAGTTCCTGTGTTGTAAGATACCATTTGTATTCAGGAAACCACAAAAGATAACAGAACCATTACTATTCAGGAAACCACAAAAGATAACAGAACCATTACTATTCAGGAAACCACAAAAGATAACAGAACGAAGCGGAAGATAATGCCTTACACCTCCGCTTTCCGGCCGTCAGTCCCCGCCACCACAGTTCCGTTAAAACCGGAACCAAAGTCCGGACTCTACAACCCTCTCCCCATCAAACCAGTACCGGAGCAGAAAGTTTATTATGTATCCGGATTAGAACTTTTATCTTGGGTCAGTAGTAAAGTAGACCGGTTAGAAGTCCCAGCTAACGGTATAAAACAGGAACCCCGGATTAAGCAGGAGACACGGTAAAAGTGCGTGAGATGTAGCGCGCCGGGTTGTCCTGTGTCACGTGATGTCATGGAATCTTGATGATGACGTCATCAGGCTTTTTTGTGACGTCACGTGAGGGCTTCCTGGTTGTGCTATGTACCTGCGAGATAACTTTATTGTTAGGATTGATGAGCAGCAGCAGGCGAGCGAAGTTGTAACTCGTATAATAATGTATGGTGATCAAACAAAGGTTTATTTATTTTGTAGCGGGTATTGTTGCACCGAATTTTCTATACCAAACAACTTATTGATCATTTAACATGTATCATGAAGCTCCTTGTAGCAGCGTATTTGTGAATCAGTGGAACTTCAGCTTCTTTTGTGGGGAAATGGGTGGGAACTTAAGGAGACAGGTATTTAAAGTTTAAACTGGGGCATGGGAGGGTATGTACAACTGTGTTGGGGGACTTAGTGACGGATATGAGAAGTTCCACTTCATTGAGAATTGTCAATGATATTAACAAGATGTTTTACGAGCGTGAAGTTTCCCTATTTTAATGTACGATGAAAAGAGCTCTGATGTGGCGTTATAAATGTCTTGACGTCACCCCAATATTCATGACGTCATCCCACGTGACTTATGACGTCATCAGAGGGAACTAGAGGGTAGTTTCTATTTTTTGCAGCTAGTTTCTGAGAAAGTGCTGAGCACGAATAATTTAAATATAGTTTTTATAGCCATAGTTTTGGAGAGGGTCCAACCTCTTCACGTTTGTGCGTTTGTGTGTGTTTTGCGTGTTTAAGTTATGTTTTTTGTTATTTATTAAAATTGTTATGTATGGGGGTTTTTGATGGTACCTGGATTTAATGTGCAGTTATTGTCACGATGTGAACGAGATTCTTCCCTTACTAATTAATTAATTAATTATTAATTAATTACCTTACTAATGGGAGATATCGCTCACTTTTCTAGGCCATCCGATTCAATTGTGTTTTAGATGTTTGCGTCGAAATTACGATAAATTTTGTTTTGATCACATGACGAAAAATAATATTGTTAACCAGATTGTTTGCTCAGTCTTCTATCATGACAATGCGGAACACGATTAAGTTTAAGATAATTTATTTTGATTTTCGTGTGTAGGAAAATTTAAAAAAACACAATTGGTTAGGCCCAGTTTGAAGTTAACCATTAGATTTTGTACCAAAAATAATGGTTATTTCACTTTTAAATTAAGGCTTTATAGATTATTCTAGGCTACCATGATGACATGATAATGTCACATTGCCTCTTCTTCCACAGATCTTTACCCCACATTTCCTCGAACTTTCCTGGAATCTCAGTTTTAAGCGATGGAGGCAATGTTGTTGATTTTACAAGAGTAGGTACTAGGTTACGTAGAAGGTATTGGTTTCTACATAGGTTAATTTGGAAGATTAGTTTTAAAGCGCATAGTTTTATGATTTGAAGACGTGTGAAAGTTCATGACCATGATACATTTTAAAACTGTAAAAAATGATCGACTGGTTTTCGACCATCCTTTTAAATTCCTTTTAAAATACGTAAGTTTTTGTTTAAAATCCGTCCAAACTTAAGTTTGAGGCTTTACTTGACACGACCAGGTTTTACAAGAATTTGTCACATTTTATTTTAGTTTATCGTAGACGATAACTTTCATAGACAGAGCTGGTTTACCTTTTTTCGTTTAATGATAACGATGTGTTCGTTCTAACATTATTCCTTATATACAACTTACATATCACACGGTATTGTTTGTACGCTAGCTTATAATGATTGTGTGTGTTTAATTTGGTGACGATTTGGCGATATTTTAGTTTTAGACCTGAACTTACTTATACGGTAAGTATTACTTACTTATATACTGTGAGTTTTACTTACTTATGTAATGTAGTGTGGGTTATTGTATCTGCCGATGTGAGATCTTGATAATTTGTCTGAACTGCATTTTGGACCTTAGCTGTAACGGGTTTTACCGGAATAATGAATATATGAACACTCGACACACATGGCCACTTCGTTCTGTACGTGTGCTGGATTTACCTAATTTTGACTTACAAAAACGATAGATGATACAAATTTTGACCTTCAAAACGTCTTTGAAAACTGTAACTTGTTCCAAATGAGCGAATCACAGTTCTTTGAAATATTGCTCTTAAAAAAGTTTAAAGAATGAAATCTTGTTCAAACTCCTTACAAAATTTTGAAATATACCAAATCCAGTGCACCGCCACACTATGACGTAACACTATGACGTCATCAATACGACCGTCAATTTTCTCGTGTACAAACCACAGTACGATGTGTTGAAGTGTTGTGTGTCGAGGTGTAAAGTGCTAAGTGGAGAAGTATCGACCACTGTGCTAGGGCTGTACTAATGGTTCCTTAATTTGGGGTGATTTTAAGAAATCAACCAAAATGCTGTTATATAACGGTTTTATTTTTGGATGATTTTTGAGAAGTCACCCCAAAATACCACAATAACGGTATATACGCCTCCTCTGAGACGTGTCCATCAAAACGTGGCTCCTTGAACCACGGTACGGTCCTCAATCTTGCAGGCCAAGTTAGTGACAACGCACGACTTTTTACTTATTTTACTAATTGTACTGATCTGCCACCGAACGACACATATCTTTTTAACTAACTAAACTAAATAACCGTGTTTTATTTCTATTTTTATAACTTGGTAAAGCACACCATATGTTAATTTCTGGGGAGAAATGTGTGTCCCAGTGAACGTAGGACACGTGTTTTATCTGTATAATACACCTACGTAACGGCCATCTCAATTCTCACTAATAACCAAAAGCAAAACTCAGCTAGATTGTCCTGGTAAATACCCAGCTCGTATTACATAATTACATAGTCAACGTCACGTCTGCCTTGAATAGCCTTGTGTCTCTCATCGTAACATGTGACTTTAAACTTTGTGTGTCACAAATCGAATTATTCAGGGGCCGGACTAACCGTCCATGTTTCCTAAATATTTGGTGAAATCGGACCCGCCAATATTAAAACAGGACGGTTTTTAACAAGAATTCGATCAGAGGGTGGGGGCTCTCAATAAGCCACTGTGAGCCTCCCGACTGCCACACAAATTGTTGATAACATGCCCAACTTGCCCATTCTTGCTGGCAGTTAATGAGGTTTGCCTGAAATCTGATTCTTCTGCCGCTCTCCCCTTAGGGTGTCTGCTCTCCTCCAATCAGCTTCAGGATCTGTTGTCACGTGACAGGTGGTGACCAATGGGAGCTCTCCTCTGGTTTACTTGATGGCTGAACCTCTATTCACGTGTGTGCTAATAGGGGGGTTCTATTCGGCGAGTGACCAGTGGGCCATTACTAAGGGTATTTATACTGGCAGATCATTTTATTACTGGACCTCTGCCAGGAAATAAAGCATGAGCTGTAACCTGCTCTGTCATACTGTAATTTTGGAACACATCGTGGACGGTTGGGGGCCAATGTTTTGGCAATCTGCCATTTTATGAGAGTCATTATTGGACAAGCTGGTAGCTGGCCATGTAATGTGGCCGATTGAAGCAATATATCAGGTATTCTGGTATTCTGGTTATTAAATACTAGACTTAGAGAAAAACGATAATTTTACATTATCCCGGTGACATTTACTGTCCAATAATAGGCTTTTCAGTATTGTATATGATGTCTATACAGTAATATACCAGATATAGGGCAACATGAAATAAGTGATAAGGCACGGTCGCGATTGTTAAGACAATAAACTACTCACTAATCAGATAATTAATGTTTGATCATCAAGTTTTGTTGGTGTCATCTATAATTAGTGGGCTATCAGATCTATTTATAGTTCTGAGCTAATTCAATGGCTGTCCGCTGCAGATCTAAAGACTGATTGTAATAATGGTATTACACGTGTTGTTGTGTCATTCAAGGTATTTGTAGATAACTTGTAACTTAGTGAATGAATAACATTTAAAGTATGTAACTGTATAGTAAGAAAGTGTGTGCTGGGCTATATGATAAAGAAACAGGTTCTTTTGGCGGGTAAAATATCTTTATTGTTGTATAATCGCATAGTAACCATGGTAACATAACTGCAACATTTAAGCTTAAAGCGATGAACATTTTCAAACATAAATCTGAAACTGTCGTTTCAGATGTTGACAAACATACACATCCCCAATCTGACGATAAGTTCAATAAAAACCACACTGCGTAATGTGGTAATGGGATATAACCTGCTTGTTGACACGGTGAATATAATAGATAATAACCACTATAATAACCACTTTAATCATCTTAGTTCACGCATTACAACACTTTGAAGCTAATCCTCTCACCCTCAACTACAATATGCATTGAAAACACTGAGAAAGTGATCGTCTACACTCGATTGGCGCCATTCTGACTTTTTTGTATAACTTGTCTTTAGGCCCGGTCAGTCAACAACCAACCAGATCGTGAGGTCAGAAACACGTGATAACCCTGCCCCAATGAGCTTGCTTGGATTCCGGCCCACTAACTGACGCGTGACGATACTTTTCCCGTGTTTTAAAGCTGGCCACTGACCGGTACATGTGATAATCGCAAAATATGTAAACACAAGAGAAAACATGTTGATGTTATTCAAGTTTTACTTTTATTATGTACACTATCGTTCCGGATCTATTTCGGGTTCAGTTTTACGGTAGATCGGGAATTGTTAATATTACTATTAGTATTACCGTGAATAACAGCAATAGAACCAACAGAGAACTTTTGAAGAAGGTGTACAATAATGATGAGCTATTTATCGTCCTGTATTTTGTATTATGCCAGCTGTCACGTGACCAACTTCAACTTATTTCGAAGGTGGCTCCGACGAATATCTCAAAACCCTTAAAAGTTTATATTTATAAATGTTCATGAATATTAAACAAAATACCTTTTTGGAGGACTTCGCCGCTTCGACGCGCCGCGCGAACTAGCATTCTTCTTCGATCTCGATGGGTTGACATAGTCAATCAAAATACCTTCCAAACCCTTGAACAGCTTCGCATACGCTCCTCAACTGATCCATTGATCATTGACATGACCCTCATCACACTTTTATTGTCATAGTCATACGTTGTATGACCCGCCGCGCACGAGTGCGCGGCTCCCCCTGTATTGTCAGGACTATAGTGAAACGACCGTGGTATGGGGGTCACAACGTGATACAACACTTTTATTGACAATGTACAACCTTACCTATTGCTTATGATTAATTATGAATATGAAGACTGATAGTGATTATATACTAAATACATGTAATGTTTCAAATCTTGCTGTAGAACCTATATTTACCTGATAGTGGTATGGGGACCTCAGGCTATCATGTTCATAAACATATGAATGGAGATTCGGTTAACCGAATCTCTGACTCTATTCATATGTTTATCATTATTATAAACATGATAGCCTGAGGTCCCCAGGTAAAGAGTTTTGTTGAATTTAGAGGAAGTGGAAACGGAGATGTAATTCTGATCATAGTCTCCAGTCTCGTGCATTAGTATTACTGTAAGTTTACAGCAAACGACCGTGGCCGTGTCAAGTGCGGCCTCTGTAGTCTGTGGTGAAATTTAGAATTGAGTAAATATGAAATAATATCGAGCCCATCGGATATTGCATACTTCAAGGTTTTGAAATGGAACTCTCACATCTCACCAACACATTATTCCTCATGATATATGATAACAGCAGCTGATTTGGTTGTAAGTTTACAACCTACCAGGACGCGCGCCGAGTTGGACTCGTCGACGGTCCTGGAACAAATATTTTACGAGTATCACCCGTTAACTGATTTGGTCACGTGTATTGGTTTAACGGGTGATACTCGTAAAATATCTGTTTCATATATTGGACCGTCGACGAGTCCAACTCGGCGCGCGTCCTGGTAGGTTGTAAACCTACAATGAACATGGTACTCGCTATTTTAAGATCGGTAAAAATAATTTTCCCTTTCTATCAAGTTAAAGTCAGGACTCTGATGATAGCAATAACTCTAATCGTCGGCTTCTTAGTTACATTGGCTGCAATAGATGTTTGGTATGTTGTCGCTGTTAAATAAGTTGAATATGAAGGTTTCCCCTGGTTCATGGTTCTCTTGTAGGTTTACAACCTACTAGGACGCGCGCCGAGTTGGACTCGTCGACGGTATATGGAACAGATATGGAACAGATATTTTACGAGTATCACCCGTTAATGGTTCTCTGGATGAATGTCACGATTAGTTTTGTTGGTCATAATTTAGTGTTTAGTAGATTTACTTGTTATGATGTTCAATGTGGATATTTCGTGGGATAATCTGGGGGAAACTGATTGTAGGTTTACAACCTACCAGGACGCGCGCCGAGTTGGACTCGTCGACGGTCCAATAAATGGAACAGATATTTTACGAGTATCACCCGTTAAGAAACTGAACATTGTCTTGCAGGGTTGCTGTATCTTAACGGGTGATACTCGTATAAGATCTGTTCCATATATTAGGACCGTCGACGAGTCCGATTCGGCGCGCGTCCTGGTAGGTTGTAAACCTACAAGCTGTATTTAATATAAAACCCCAGTCGCGATTGTTCTGATTTGCCTCGTGATCCAATTTATTGTCACACGGCAGAGTACACGTGCACGTGACCCCGACCACCCTGTGCACGTGGCCCGACCACCCTGTGCACGTGACCCCGACCACCCTGTGCACGTGACCCCGACACCCTGTGCACGTGACCCCGACCACCCTGTGGTTGTTGATTAGTCACATGTAAAATGTTAACGGGTGATACTCGTAAAATATCTGTTCCATATATCGTCGACGAGTCCAACTCGGCGCGCGTCCTAGTAGGCTGTAAACCTACAAGTAAAATGTAAATACTTAATACCACCGTTTCTATCCTCACGACTGTCTTCGTAGTTTGTAACTCAGGAATATCACTTCTGCAGATCTTCAATCAGCTTCTTGAAAATACGTTTGCCGAGTCAGTTTTCGTGTTGATGATTTGTGCGTGACATTGATTTACGATGTCAATCCTTCCCAGCTCGGCGAGGCCCAGTGGTACATCTCCCCGATCTACGGAAGGTTGCGAGAAGATGCGCGACCCAGTAGTGCATCGCGGTACAATACATGACATTACCTCTACTTTACTCACTTCTAACAGTAACACCGCTCTTTATATTAGCTAGAAGTAAAGAGTTGAAGGGAATCAGAGGGACAGACGGATATATATAATAACATCTATAAACAAAAGAGCACCTAAAGAGGCTCAGCAAAGTACTGGCCTATTTCATATTTGCGCTTTCGAAGACTCCTTCGTTCAATATGTTGTAGGTTTACAACCTACCAGGACGCGCGCCGAGTTGGACTCGTTGACGGTTTAATATATGGAACAGATATTTTACTTGACCATTGTTAATGATCTGGCCCGGCGCGCGCTACTTCGTAGCACTTGCCATCGGGCCTAACATTTCGAGAAGAAAACGGCGCGCGCTACTTCGAAGAAATTTAGGCGAGTAACATCCGTCAAATATTTTACGAGTATCACCCGTTAATCAATATGTCTCAAAGTAAATAAACTCCTCCATCCTATTCTATCTCTCGCCAAGTTCACTAAGTTGGTAAAATCATCTTCATTTTTCAAATAAATTTGTCTCTTAAATAG